CAGTAATCTCACCTCATGTGCTGCCTCTCTAGCATGTAATTAAATCCTCTCATCCTAAGGAATTAAGAAGTAAAAAAGGAAGTTTGCCTGGGTTTGCTTGAAGAGTAAAATTAAGGCCATCCACTGAAAATGCATTAAAAACCTGAGAACTTCTGTAAGCCCTAGTAACATTTATGTTCATGCTTAGCACATAGCTAGATGTAATACATCCAACATATATATATATATATATATATATAAAACATATATATATATATATATATATATATATATATATATATCCAGATGGCACAGAAGGGGTGCAGGGCTGCTCCTTGAATCACCTGGGACAAAAACCACCTGGATTAGCTGCCCCTGCCCACCTGCCACCTGACCCCCAGGACAGTCACCAGAGACCCCCACAGGCAGCCAGCCCACCCCAGCCCACCTGATGTCCTTGATGGTGGCTCTCTTGAGGGGGTCCACCTGCAGCATGTGCATGAGGAGCGTGGCCACGGAGCGGTTGAGGTATTCAGGGATGTAAAACACTCCCCCACGGATCTTCTTGAACAGGGTGGGGACGTGCTCATCGTCAAAAGGCAGAGTGCCACACAGCAGGGCGTAGAGGATGACACCACAGCTCCAGATGTCCACCTCGGGGCCAGCATAGAGCCTGCACGAGGACAAGGGCAGGAGAAAGCTGTCACCACCACCCTCTCCTCAGTCAGGGTGCAGGTTCTGTGTCACCACCACCCTCTCCTCAGTCAGGGTGCAGGTTCTGTGTCACCACCACCCTCTCCTCAGTCAGGGTGCAGGTGAGGGCACCTATTGTAAATGCAGGCGAACCCAATGGGAAGCAATGAGGCTGTCTGACTCAATTTAGAAGGCCGAATTATTCCTTTATTATAACTATGCTAAAATACATTAATATACTATATAAAAGGAAGATACTAAAACTACATACTATTTTTTCTCTCACACAACTCATGACCCTCTTTCAAGAGTCCAGCCCCAGGTGGGTTGGATTGGCCATCAGGCTCAAACAATCCTCACCAGAATCCAACCAAGCACTCACTCCAGGTAAACAATTCTCCAAACACATTCCACATAAGAAAAACAAGGAGTAGAAGTAGAAATTGTTTTCTCTTTCATTTCTCTCTGTGCACCTCTCTGAAAAATCCTGAGAGAAAAAGAAATGTGCTTGCCACAGGCACCCCCTGCCAGCTCCAGCAGGGACAGAGCTCCAGCCCACACCAGGGCTGCTCACGTGGCTCCCCCCAAACCAAATCTGCCTCAGCCAAAACTGCTCAGGGAAATGAATGGCAGGGCTGGCACTGGCTGCCCACACTCCCGTGTTCAACCCTGCCTCCACTCTCCAAAAAGCCAAACCTCACATTTCCAAGAGCCCTGACAGGGTGTTTGCTCCTTTGCCCTGAGGGCTCAGCCAGAAATTTCTGCTCATTGAAGGAGGCAGATCAAACAGCAACACATAATTCTATCTCTGAGCATTTATTTTTGGTGTGCTCCTGCTTCTGACAAGCTGCCAAACATGCTCTCTGCCATCACCAACTCAGGACACCCCAAATACAGTTGTGCTGCCCCTGCTCATCTCTTTTTGCTACATCTGATGCCTCCCCAGAGATTTTGAGAAGCAACACTTGCCCTTGAGTTGTGAGGCCCAACCAAAATACAGAAGGTGAAATGCAGCTACTGAAGTCTCTTCACTGCACTCGCTCCTCCTGAAAAGCATCACTGCAGACATATCAGTGTAGAAGTCCTGCTGGTCATGCCTGTGACCATTCTCTGAACACCCCAAAACATTGGGTCTGCTTGTCCAAGGCTGAGACTTTCCCTGCTGAGGCCAGGGACAGCAGCAAAGCCATTCTGGAAGGGCAGAGGCTCAGCTGGATGCCCCCTCAGCCCTGCCTCCAAGCCCAACTCCCACAGATCAGAAGACTGATTCTTTTGCTGATAAAAGCACTGCCTGGACAGTTTTTTGGACCTTTAAGAGCAATTGAGACACACTTTTATGGCTCTGAAACCTGAGCTGTCACTCTCTACTGCTTTTGTGCTCCAGCAGGGAAGGCAGCAGGAGCCAGGAGCCAGCTGCCCCCTGCCCCACACACCCACCAGCAGGGCAGGGAGGGGGGATTGTGCCTGTCCCCCTCAAATGCAGCTCTGAGCAGAGCCCAGCTTACCACACTGAGCACAGCCATGAAACTCAGGCAGCCCTGAGCCTGTGGGTGGGAGTGATGAGGGAGGGATGCAGCTGCAGCCAGCCAAACAGTGCAACGCGTGGGCTTGGTTTTGGTTTTCCTTCTTAATTTTGTTGTTACTAAGCTGCATTGCCTGCACCCTTGGAACACTCAAGGACTAAATCCTCCTTGCTGATCTGCCATGTGCCTTGCCTCCTATACAAATTGAAAAACACGTGTCTGGCCTTCACTGAGATGGAAATACGATTATTATTTTTTTGGAACCCCAGTAGTTTCTGGATTTTTCCCCTTCTTGACAATGAGGATTTACTTGGTTTCATTTCACAGCCAGAGCTGTAGTCACAACAGGGTTTCTGGATGCTAGTCTAATTCCTGGGATGCTCTGCCAACACTTGCTGTGGTTTAAACAGGGATAAAATAATCAAAATCACAGCAAACACTCTCCAAACAAAATGTTATATTTAAAAGCTACAGATATAGGCAAAACATACATTGGATTAGGAAAAGAGAAGCTCATGGCAAAGGGAGATTTAAAAAAAAAAGGGGGTAGGTAATGAGATGGGCAGTTTGAAGGATCATTCAGAGGACTGAAAATTTGAAAATCTGTATCTGCAATCTTTGCTAAGGTATTACAGAGAGAACTAGGGCAAAACGTGCATTCTATGTATTTTCTGTTCCTGACAGCAAAATACAGGAGGCAACACCTCTGTACCAACACGTAGAAGTCCAATTCAACCTTGTGGGGTGTGCCAGCCCTCCATGTGCTGTACAGATGTTTCATGCTGAGGGATGCAACCACAGAGGTGGTTTGTCAATTCAATGAATAGTTCAAAACAAAGCTCTGAAGGTTGAACCTACTGCCATAGCCAAAACCCCAAATACAGGGCTTCCCAAGCTTAAGGAAGCAGAAGACAAGTATTTTCTTTACCAATGTTGGGAAGGGATTAAAGATCTTCCTGTTTCTTTTGTTAGTGAATGGTTTTCCTCATTAACACTGTGTTTTATATTACAGGTGGGCAGGAGAGGAGGGGGTGGCCTGGAAAAGCCTTTCCACCTGGAACCTCAGTATTTGCATCCAAAGAGTCATTTTCACCCTCTTTAATTAGCAATATAAACAGTCAACATCTGGTATTAATAATTCCTCCAAAGTAAACACCTGTAGCAAAACACAGTTTGCTATTACAGCTACTGAGCAGTAAAATAACCAAGAAAACCTTCAGATCTCTGCCAACAGATTCGCCCAAACACAAAATCCAGGTTGGAAGGATTCAGCTGCTTTTACTAGATGTGCAAAGCTGTTTCCAATATCAAGAACAAATTTAAACTCCATGTGCTCACATAGACTTTGATGAGAAATGGAATGTCTTACCTTCCAGAGATGACTTCAGGGGCTGCATAATTTGGGGAACCACAGCTGGTGCGTAGAAATTCACCATCTGACATCATGTTGGACAGTCCTAAAAAAAAAAAAAAATAATGCTTATTATATACTGATGTTTGATCTGAAGGTCCAGACACACTGGACCCCATGTCACACAGAGGAAAGGCAGGGAAGTGGAGTGGGATATTTGGAAGGGAATTGTTGATATAATTTAGATTAGACTATAATTTATATAGATTTCTCTGAACTGATTTGAAAGTTATTACTTTTGTTGTTATTATTGTTGTTGTTGTTTATTTTTGTTGGGCTGTTTTTTTTTTTTTTTTGTATTTTAACATGCTGAGTTTAGTTTTGTATCTTTCACATCCAACAAAGAAATAGTCACTCCAGGCTAATTTTGCTCCTCTAAATTGCAAATCCCAGAGCACAGAGGGGAAGACATAATTCATCCCAGAGCATTTACTTCATATGGCAACTGGGTGGGGCTGTGAAATGAGTAAATCTTCAGAAGGATTTACATTGCTAGAAAGGACTCACCAGGACAGAGATGGTAGCCCGGGTATTTTAATGGATTTCAATCCCTAATGCCATTTAAGAGCCTCCTGTTACTGCTGGTTGTAAAATGAACTGAGGCCAAGAGCACATGGCCAAACAGAGGGAGGACATGCAGGAAAATAAACACACAGAGCCAGCTCCCCCTGAATTAGCTGCACCCAGCCCGCCTCAAACACCAACGAGGTAAATCTCACATGGGGTGATGACACTAAAACACAGCAGAGATTTACAAATGGATTCTCAGTGCCACTGCAGGAGCAGCCTGCTGCTGAGGAAGGCTTTCCAGGGTGCATTTCCAGGTGCTGGTGGCTGGGGCAGCAGCTCTGGGCTCTGCTCCGCAGCCACGCCTCTGGAATGCTGCTGGGGTCACATACCAAAATCAGCTATCTTTGCATTCATGTGTGCATCCAGCAGCACGTTCTCTGGCTTCAGGTCCCTGTGCACCACCATGTGCCTGTGGCAGTAATCCACTGCAGAGAGGATCTGCTGGAAAAGGCGCCGAGCTTCTGCCTCCTCCACCTGGGGGAACAGCAATGCAGCGGGGTGTGTGTGTGTGGCAGGCACATCCTTCTCTCTCTCAGAGGGAAGAAAGAGAAAACAATTTCTATTTCTGCTCCTTGTTTTTCCCAAGTGGAATGTTTTTGATTAATTGTTTATCTGGGGTGTTGCTTCATTGGATTCTGGTGAGGATTGTTTGAGTCTGACAGCCAATCCAATCTACCTGTGTCTGCACTCTTAGAGAGGGTCATGAGTTGTGAGGTAGTTAAATATGGTAGTTTAGTATCTCCTTTAAATAGTATATTAATGTATTATAGCACAGTTATAATAAAGAAACCATTCAGCCTTCTGATGGAGTCAGACATCATCATTTCTTCCCACTAGGTTCACCTGCATTTACAATAGGTGTGCACTCAGGCAGGGGAAGGCTTCACTTAGCAAGGAGCCAAAAAGCTTCCAGAGTGCAGAGGGAAAATCTGCCAGCTTGCCTGTGAGCAGAAGCAGCAAATAAAGCAGATTTCTCACCCTTGCATTTTACAATGTGCCAATGTTTGAAAATTATATAGCCCAGAGATGAAAGGTGAGACCTCAGCTCAGCTGAGATGTCAACAGGAATTTGAAGGTGGCACCTATCAGACAATGAGCTGCTGTCCCAATGGGACTGGTACAGATCCAAGCTGGACAAAACACCACAGAGGATGCTGCTGGGAGCATGGACTCATGGACTTCCTCTGGAAGCAACAGGTGAAGCTGGAATGTCATGATGATTTTAATTACCTGTATAGCTAATAAAGTTGTACGAGCTACATCAGAGAAACTATATTTTCAACTATTATTTTTACTGATCCCTTCATGAAAGGGAGTAAAGACTCCCTTCATGAAAAACTGAGTTTATGAATGCAGAAGTTCAGAAAAATATTTAAATCAGCCACTGAAAAGATCTAGATGGGGAAAATTGCGTGAGAAATCAGAACTGTACACAGAAAAGAAAACTGAGTCAGCTCCATTGACCACTATACTAATCCAACCCAATCTGCAGTAAATGCATTGATTTTGTAGCACAGAGAGGGAACATGTGATGGGCTGATCCTTCACCTGAACCCTTATTCTGGATAAGGGGACACTTAGGCACATTTTTACCTCCTTGTTCTACAACTGCTCCACAAGGCAGACACCAGCGATTTTCCTTGTAACCAAAATCTCACATTTCACAGGTGCTTTATACCCAGTGGGACTGCTGGCATTGAAAATGTTGTTCAGATAAGCCACATCTTTGAAAAGTCTTCAAAGAACCTGACATGGAACCAAGAGGGGGGTCTGGGAGAGGTGAATGACTGGAGACCACACCAAGCTATAAATTTGCTGCTGATTTGTGGGGGTTTTGACAGGCAACCCATAGCTAAAAATCAAAAAATAAGCCAGTTTTCCAAATATTTGCCCTAAGCAACACGTCACCTTGCATATTTTGGTCTGAGGATCAAAAATACACCAGAGAACGCAGCGAAAAATCACACAGGAGTTTTGTGCGAGCCAGTACAAGACACCCCAGATGGGATTGCTGTGAAGCAACTTCTATTTTGGGCCTTAACCTTAACTGTGCTCCCTTGAGCAGGCATTTTGCTCCTGATCACCTTGCTCTTCCCACACAAGTGTCGGGGCTGACTCGGGACCAGCACTTACACGTCCGTGCTTACAGATGTAATCAAACAATTCACCCCCAGACACGTATTCCATCACCATGAAGAAGTCTGTCGGTGTGCTGATGACCTGGTACCTTCAAAAACACAAGCAGATTTTTAAAAAAATAGGTAATTAGGAACAGGTAAAGGCTTTTAAGCAGATTATTAATTCCACATCAACACTTCTGATAAGAATTTGTTTGGCTCTTGCATTAGCAACTGCTTTCCACTTCTGAAAAGCTGTCTCTTGTTTCCAGTATTATCTTTCGCTTGTCTGTGAAAGCACCTCTTTTCCAGACCTATGATCTTCCTTCAGCCCTTTTAAATAATCCTCTGAAATATCTACCAGGCAAACTTAGGACTGCCTTGACTTTCAAATTTCCATTTTGGGTAAGATCTACAACAACAGCTTTAGCAATGAAGTCCTGGTTGGCTGGGGGCAAGGAGAGGATCCATCTGGTCTCCCTCATATCAAGAAAAAAGAAGATAAAAAGCCCTAGGTACTAGTGACAGCTTCCTCTAGACAGGTACAGAAACAAAAAGGAGACCTCCTAAAATTATTTTTCAAATATCAAATCTCTCTAGAATGGGGGAAAATCCTTCTAGAATGGAGGGAAAAACCCAGAGCATCACCTTCAACTTGCAGATTTATTCTCCATTTTCCTTCAAAACCATCCCTGAGTGCTGCAAAGACATTTCAGTGTCCCAGCTGGAACAAAGTGCCAGTGATCAGCTGGGGTCAATGCAGCCCCAGGAATTCACAGCAGCACCAGCTGGGACCTCCCTCTCTTTTATTCCCGATTCGTTGTCCTGTTGCTGTTGTTTTCGGGTTTTTTTCCAAATGAATTTTTTCCCAGATGAATTTTATTATTTTTTACAGGACTGTAATTTGAAACAAAGGGATTTCAGCAATTTTTAGAGGCTGGCAAGGGAATGTGGGATACTCCCATAAAGATCAATAGCATCAACCTCATTTTTCTGAAGAGCTTTGGACCCAGACATCTAAGCTACTGTTAATTGCCCCAATATTTCTTTTATATACATTTAAAATCTTATTGAAAGAGGTTTGTGTGCCCCAGTCTCCTCACATCTTTATCACTGTATTTCATGAATGCAACATATATCACAGGACACAGATATGGTCAAACTGGATTTAATTTTTATTGCTTTGACAAATGTGTGAATGGGATTTGACTTGCAGGATGCTGGGCACACAGCTGAGGAGTCTTGCTGGCGCTTTTTTCATGAAATAATACCAATCTGTTCTCCAATAAATCCATGGAACTGTGAAGTTACTCTAAAGTCAACAGTTGCTGCATGGTTAGTTATTTAACTGTAGAGAGAATTTGTTTTCCCTTGCCTCTAAGTCCCAGGTATTTGCTATATCTCATGCCAGTTTTAAGGCTGACCTAAATGTCAACTTACCCTTGCAGTTACCATTCAACAGCTTTCTTTTATAGGAATGCCAAAGATATTATCGAGTGCCTCATTAATGTGGGCTGGCTGCACAAGCTGGGGATTGAGCAGGAATCCCAGAGGCTGCAGTGCAGGTGCTGATTTACGACCCCAACTCAGGTTCATCAAAGTGGAGACTTTCAAAACTTATGTCTGAATAATAAATGTTGAGAATAAAAAAAAATATATATATATATGTTCTTTTAAGCTCTGGATAATCGGCCCATTAAAACATAAATCCCATTGACTGGAGGCCAAGGTTTCACTCTCAAAGCCTGACCATGCTGCAATTCATGGAGTCATAGAATGGTTTGGGTTGGAAGGGACATTAAAGACCATCCAATTCCAACCCCTGCCATGGGCAGAGACACCTTTCACTTATCCCAGGTTGTTTAAAGTCCCATCCAAACCTCGCCTTGAACGCTTCTAAGGACGGGGAAGCACAGCTTCTCTGCAAAACCTGTGCCAGTGGATCACCCAACGCACAAAAACTCGACCAAACACAATTTTTCCTGCTGTGTTCCATCTCCTGAAGGCCAGCTGGCCGTGTGTGAGAGGTCTTTGTGCACAGAGGAGCAGCTGCACACGTGGGGTACTCACAGTTTGATAATGTGAGGGTGCCGGAAGAGTTTCAGGTTTTGAATTTCTCGTTTGATCTTGCCCACCACATCCAGGCTGCGGATTTTCTGCCTGTTCAGTATTTTCACTGCCACTTTGTGCCCTGTCAGCTGGTGTTCACCAACTATTAGAGAGAAAGAGAACATTGCAAAGTCACTGAACAGTGCAGCAGGGTTCACACAAGCAGCTTAGGGCACTATAAGCAAAAAGCCACTTCTGAAAGGAAAAAAAAGCAGAAGATGAGGGTGTGAAGTATTTTAAAGTTTTTGTCTCTTCACTGTTTTCCCAGAGGAGTCATAGAAGGCAGAAGAGAGAGGACTTATCTGCCAAAAACACTCCATTAAACAGAAGAGTGAATTGCTGGAGGAGGTCATACCCCAAGCTAATTTGCAAGGATTTATAGCATGTAAAAGCTAGATTAATCAGAAACAGATATATTTAAATGGCAGTGGAGAATCTCCACCATAACACACTAGTAGACAAAATCCCTCATAAACCCAGTCTTAAAACTAGACCATCACACTTCTTTTTTTAAAAAATGGTATGGGGATTTTCCTTGCCCAAAATAGGACTGCAGGATTTGCATTACTAACATGAATTTCTATTTATACTTCCCCCAGCATGCTTCTTGCTTTGATGACAAGCTGCAGGAACACTGCTGGACTGCAGGAGCAAACTCTGCTTTTAGGAAAGATGCAAACTTCAATTGGGTCTTTTTTTAAAAATGCACTTGGGGCATTGAGATGCTAATGTTTATCTCCTGTGTTCAGAGAAATATCATACCCATAAACTGGGAGGAGCAGCCTCACTATCACTGGGGGAATTGTAATTAATGATGTGAAACGAATTCAGCATGGGATCCATTTATCAATAAACAAACCACCCAAAAAAATAAAAAAGCTCTCAAGAAGCAAGATTTATATTGAAATTGAGAGCAGAAAGAGCTTAAAAACTTGGTGTTTATACCCAAAAAGGGTTCTCAGAGCGAGCTGCCCCTTCTCAGTGGTTTCCAATATAACATTCAACAGAGTGACACAGGGATGGTTTCCTAAAGCCTGCACAGAAAAACCTGCTTACAGTAAATATTTGTGCTCTCTAATTACCAACATCACCCTTCCAGTGCAAGGAGTTAATTATTGCCAGCAAACCTCGTTATTACATTATTAGAGCCTGTAATTTTGGCAGCCCTAATGAGCTGATCAGAAGCACTGGGGGTAAGCAGGAGGTGTGAGAAGGGCAGGGCAGCAGCACTCGGGGCACACCAGGTCACTATTCTTAGCCACCAGATAAGACCTGCCAGAGATTCTTTCCTCAATAGGAGCATCCTAAAAATAAAACACTTTACTGCCCTTGAAAATTAAAGCACCACTTTGCATGTCCGTTTTATTCCTCGTAATACTTCAAACTACCAAATGATGGAATGAAAATAAACTCAGCTTTGCAGCAGAGATGCAATTTAGGGATTAGCTGAGGGCTGGAGGAGGCAGATAATTCCTCTGGTGCAGTGCAAGGAGAGTGCTGTAAATAGTCCAGGGAGGCATTTTCCCTGGTGAATCCTTGGGGAGAGGCAACAGAGCAGTGCTGCACAGAGGTAAAGCAAAGTTTTTTCACTGAACTAGGAGAAAAACCCTGATTTCTACCACCCTTTGTTTCAGGAGAAAGGCTTTCTGGCCTTGCACCAGCATACTCTTTGAAAATTTTTTATTATACACTAGGGGGAAAAAAAAAATGGCCATGCCCAGAATGAATAATTATTGTTTTTAATACTATTGCCAAACAGTTCATCCCCTTTCCCATCCGTGACAAACAATGTGTAACTCTGCGAAGGTTTGCTAGCACAAACACATTAATAATTAAAAATAAACAGCCTATTTTGTAATCCATCTTTTGCTTACAGTAAGCATTAGATACAGAGATATTATTGTTTCTGTCCCCAGTGACTTGTTAAGCCTCCTTGAACTCGGCGAGAGAGACAAAGAGGGAACACAATTTCCTATGTGGTGGGAGACTTTCAAGCCTTTGAGGGCTCTCTGTAGCTGCAGGAATTGAGACATGGGCAGCAAGGACAACAATCCCTCTGCTCACAGAGTCACTGTCTCTGAAGCCCAGCATCACCCCAAAAGTGAGGGGCAGGTCCCAGGTCTCCCCCAGGCATGGAAGGGGATCCCCACCCCAAGGGTGGGCAGTGGTGACACCTCCTTCCCTCTCACTGCCTCCCCAGGTTCAAAAAGTGGAGACTCTTGACATTTACTCATTTTTATAAAAGAAAAAAAAAAAAAAAAAAGAGGAGGAATAGTGATTATAGCACCATGAGCAGAGATAATAATTAAAACCCCTTGACAGCAAGGCTTTTTACAGCACTTTTTTTATCCTACCAGCTCAGGCAGCAGAAGCAGTTAACATTTTTGCAAATGCTTCAGGGCAATATAGAAGCTTATGGAGGGGTGAGGAAACTCCTTCCCTATCAGCTCTGCTGGCCCTTATCTCAGCCCAAAGTTAAAAATAAAATCCACCCAAAACACATATTTAGCAATGCTGTATTAATTCTGCCCCGGTGCCACTTGCTTGTGCTGTCTCAGCCTCTCCCTGCTCTTCCTCTGCTCAGCCTCCTTTACTTTATCTTCCCTCTGACACCAAGTTTGTCTTGGAGCAGCAATGCTACAGTGCCTGGGAAAAATGGGATCTGATCCTGGAGCCCGTGGAGGTGACACAAACACATCCCAAGTCCTCGAGGGACCACAGATGTGTCACTTTTGGGCAAACAAGCCAGGCAAAGGAGCCACCAAGGCACCCAGGGATGCTGGGGGTGGCATCACACACAGAAAATATCTGGGTTACTCTGCTGGATTTTGATTTAAGCTCTTCGGGCTGCACCAACTGTGAACCTTGTTGTGGTCATAGAGAGCTTTTGGGGACCCACAGGGTGGGACATGCCCACAGCACACACAATTTGTCTCATCTCTTCTTGCCAACCCCCAGGGAAGGAGATGCCAACTCCTTCCTCCAAGGTTTTGCTAAACTCCCGAATCCAAGATCTTCTCCACAGTTTTATTTCGGCAAATTATTCTGATTTTCTGCAAATTAGAAATTGTTTTTTCTGCGAATAATCCTGTTTTCTGCAATTTATCTTTGGCCTGGAGGTCAGGGAAAATAACTGTATTTGGTAAAAATGCTGTGTGGTAACTTCAAGTTTTGACATGACACCTCCTGTCCATCCACCACATCAGCTCCTGCCACCTTCCTCTCTTCTAAGAGATGCTGTGTCCTCGTCCCCACTTCCAGATGGAATTTAAATATTAGCACCAAAACCCTGCCCTCATCTGCCAACCTCATTGCTCCCCTCCGTGCCTTGCGTGATTTTCTGTAAATGACATCAAGAAACTGAATGGGCTTTAAAAAACCCCAGTTTCTTGCAGTGTTCAGCCAGTTTTTAGGAGCATCAGTTCCCCCATGACGCAGGCAGTCAGGGACTTTTTCTGTCTGGCTCCTGATGGCTCAGAATGACTACTGAGCTCCAGCCACGAGTTCAAGCTCTGGTTTGTACCCCATGTCACTAAATCCTCCCTTTCATTGCCATTTCTTATTTCCCTAATAACAATAATCCTGAACAGTTGTAAATTATGATTTCTTAACTTCAACAAGTAAGGCAGCAAAAAGCACCAAAACCAAAACCTCTTGTGCGAGGCAGAATTTGAAGAAAACACATCAGCAACAAGAGATGTCATTGATGGCTCCTGATTTCTCCCTGAAAAAGCAATTATTATACTCAACACACAATGCTTGAATCAATCAACAAAAACCTCTGCTTTTCTCATGTGAATAAAAGTTTTTCTAAAGCTCATTCTAGTAAAATGCTGTAATTTTATATAAATGGGACACTCCATTTCTTCATTTTGGTTCCCAGTCTCAAGCACAAACTTTATCTGTCAGTTGTAGGCAAAATATTAAGGGAAAAAAAACATATAAAGGGTACTGCTCACCTATAAAGGATTTTGAGCTAGAAAATCTCTTTCATGTCACTTGAAATATTTCTTTGGAAAATGTCCGTTTTTACCACATTCAGGTCATATGTGGGGTAGGGGGTATTTGTGCTAGTTAAGGGGAAAAAAGGCTATTGTTGGCAGGTTTAAATTGGTCTGCAAGGAAAAAACCTGCCTTTGGAGCAGTTTTGATGTCTGCTAGTATACACAAGTGATTTAAATGGTCCTTACTGTTAGAAGTATTTATTCTGATAATTTTTTAGACAGTAAATTTGTGGTTTGGGATTAAACACAGCAATATATATTTTAGGGACGTGATTAATGGCCACAGGTGGACTTAGCTGCAGTGGTTGTAGTGGTTTCTTTCATCTGCTGTCCATTTGGGTTTATTTTAAAGCTCCAGAAACTGAGGGCAGGCACAGCACCCCTTTGCCCAGCCACATCCCAGTGGGGTGGGGGGACACTGCATGGGACAGCTGCTCCCCCAGCTCGACCTAAACCCATTTCCTACTGGAAAACACAGCTTAGACACTGAATTCTGTTGGTTTTCTGAGTTTTTTAGTATCTCGTTTAAAAAATGAAATTTGCACGTAATGGCAGAATCCACAGGGAAAGAAGAAATACAAATATTTGCAAACCTCACAGCTAGGTTAAGCAAAGCCTTCAGGATGTGAGCTGGCTGCTCTGGCATGACTGGCCAAGGAATCCCTGTGTGGAGCCCCAGCCTGGCACAAGCCCCTCATCCTGCAATCCTGGAAGGGTTTGGGATGGAAGAGACCTTAAAGTTCATCTCATCCCTCCTTCTGCCATGGGCAGGGACACCTCCCACTATCCCAGCTTGCTCCAAGCCCTTTCCAACCTGGCCTTGGACATTTCCAGGGATGGGGCAGCCACAGCTTCTCTGGGAACAATTTCTCCCCAATATTCCATCTAACCCTGCCCTCTGTCAGCACGAATCCATTCCCTGTCACCCCACCGCTCCACGCCCGGCCAGAAATCCCTCTCAGCCCTGCTGCAGCCCCTCTAGGCACTGCAAGGTGTTCTCAGGTCGCGTTGGAGCCTTCCCTCGCCCGGGTGAAGGCGCAGCTGGCTCATCCTTGCCCGCCCGACCCCTCCATCCCCGCGGGGGGATGCTCAGCTCCCCGGGGGGATGCTCGGCTCCGCGGGGGGATGCTCAGCTCCGCGGGGGGATGCTGGGCTCCGCGGGGGGATGCTCGGCTCCGCGGGGGGATGCTGGGCTCCCCGGGGGGATGCTCAGCTCCGCGGGGCGATGCTGGGCTCCGCGGAGGGATGCTCAGCTCCGCGGGGGGATGCTCAGCTCCGCGGGGGGATGCTCAGCTCCGCGGGGGGATGCTGGGCTCCCCGGGGGGATGCTCAGCTCCGCGGGGGGATGCTCAGCTCCGCGGGGGGATGCTGGGCTCCCCGGGGGGATGCTCAGCTCCGCGGGGGGATGCTGAGCTCCCAGGGGGGATGCTGGGAACCGTGGGGGGATGCTCAGCTCCCAGGGGGGATGCTGGAATCCGCAGGGGCGATGCTCGGCGGGGCGGCAGCACCAAGCGCCTCCGCTGCCGGCTCCAGGAGCACCCCGGAGCACGGCAGCCCCTCGGGAAGCACGGCGGGGAGCGGCGCATTCCCGGCACGGAGGGGCAGGATGCCGGAGCGCGCTCCAGCCTCCCCATCACCTCCGTGAAGTTTTGGTGGGTGCCGCTCGCAGCGCGGGCTCCCGGGGATGTGACAGCCCGGAGCAGCGAGGGGAGAGCGCTGCATCTCTCCCTGCAGCCGCCCGCCAGCGCCGCATCCCCGCCGCGGGCGGCCCGTGTGCCGCCGAGGGAAGGAAGAGGAAACGAGGGAAGGAAGAGGAGCCCAAGGAAGGGAGCGCAGCCCGGGGAAGGGAGCGCAGCCCGGGGAAAGGAGCGCAGCCCGGGGAAGGCAGCACAGCCCAGGGAAGGAAGAGGAGCCCAGGGAAAGGAGCGCAGCCCGGGGAAGGGAGCGCAGCCCGGGGAAGGGAGCGCAGCCCGGGGAAGGCAACACAGCCCGGGGAAGGTAGCACAGCCCAGGGAAGGAAGAGGAGCCCAGGGAAGGGAGCGCAGCCCGGGGAAGGCAGCACAGCCCAGGGAAGGGAGCACAGCCCAGGGAAGGAAGAGGAGCCCAGGGAAGGGAGCGCAGCCCGGGGAAGGCAGCGCAGCCCGGGGAAGGCAGCACAGCCCGGGGAAGGCACCGCAGCCCGGGGAAGGGAGCACAGCCCGGGGAAGGGAGCGCAGCCCAGGAAAGGGAGCGCAACCCGGGGAAGGCAGCGCAGCCCGGGGAAGGGAGCACAGCCCGGGGAAGGCAGCACAGCCCAGGGAAAGGAGCGCAGCCCGGGGAAGGGAGGCGATGCCGCGCGGAGGCCGCGGGAGCGGGAGGAGGGAGGCGGCGGCGAGGGGCGCACCCGGCCCGGCCCGGCCCCGCCCGCGGCCGCGGTACTCAGCTCTTGACTTTGCCGAAGGTGCCGACCCCCAGCGTGTCCCCCAGCACGTAGTGGCCGATCTTCACCCGCCCATCGTGCTTCTGCTTCTCGGCCATGTTCGCCCCCCGCCGCCGGACCACAATGCACAGGGCCGGGCCGGCGGGGCGGGGAGCGCGGCGAGCGGAGCGAGCGGAGCGAGCGGAGCGGAGCGGGCCCGGCCGGCGGGGGCGGGGAGCGCCAGGTGCGGGC